CAGGAGTCAGGGGCACAGCTAGAGCTTGAAGTCAGGGCTGCTTTTTCTCTGAGCCCTAAGAGGGCAGGGGAAGGGACCCAGAGCACAGGCACACAGGCTCCAAAGGGAGGAGGGAACAGGCAGGCAGGAGTGTAGACTCCGGCTTCTCCGAGCCTGGGGAGAGGTAGCTATGTAGGTGGCTGGCTTCTCTTCCCTTTGAGAAACAGGTGGAAGGTCCTCCCAAGAGAGGCAGACTACAGGAACTCTCCATAGTTCCCCAGGCACTGATGTCACTTAAAACTCAGAGTTAGACTGGTGGCCCAGCGTTTCCCATCTCATTCCCACTCTTCTCATCCCTGACCCAGGCTGAGCTAGGTGACGACTCCCAAGAATGGAGCACCTTCTTTTCTCTTTGGCAATGCAGGATCCGATCTGCCCAAGTGGGCCCAGCCTGGGGGCAGGGTGCCAGCCCTCCTGCTCAGGCTGAGGTGCTGCCACCCAGGCCCCCACCTGGAGAGCTGGCTCCCCATGGAGGATGTAGGCCTAGCTGAGTGTTGCTGGTGCAAGTCCACCCAGGGGAGAGCTGCGGGGGCCACCACCTGTTCAGCCTTGCCAGTTCCCTCCATGGACTTGACATTGATTTCATGTATTATTTGCTTCTTTAAAATTAAATTTGTCTTTGTCCCCTATTGGAAAATGAATGTATGTCCATTGTAGAAGATGTGGGAAACAGATCAGAAAAAAGAAGAGTAACTAATGAGAATTGCTTTCTCTGATGTGAATAGTGCAGGTTTTCTGGCATAGGCTCCAGCCTGGGAAGGGGTCATGGTCCCTCTGGTTAGTGTGGTCAACAGGCCATTGGGCTGTGTCTTAGGGGACACCAGCCATAGCTGGCTCAGGCCTTCCTCCCCCAAGGGTTTCAGGAAGAGGTGTTCAGGCCCCCAAACACTTGTGCATTGTGATGCAGACAGCAGAGATGACGGAGTTGCTATATTTAATTTTGGTGCCTGCGTCACCTCTGACCACATAGCAGCATCTGCCCAGGCAGTACAGGGGCTGGGGGTGTTTCTGAATGAGGCTGTGAGAGAATCACTTTCCACAAGAGAAGGCATTGTGGATGGGGAGACAGAGAGAGCAACAGAAAGTGAGGTCGTAAGTAGAAAATTGCTTCTGGGATTTCAAATGGCTTCGTCATGGGGCCCTCCCTTGCTGCTGAGAAATCAGTTGATCTGGGAAAGTTCGTTGCAAACCATTGCCCTGTTGCTTTGGGGTGGAGCTGAGAAATGAATGAAGATAATGGGGCTTTATGAGTGGGCTGTGGGTGGGAGGGTGACTGGACACAGCCACCAGCTTGGACTCTAGAAGGACCAGCCAGGAACCGGCCAGTATGTCCCGCCCAGCTGCCCTGTGTGCAGCACCATCTACACGGACCCAGCCAGGCCTCCTTAGATAGCAGGCAGCCAAAGGAGGAGCAGGTTTTGAGTCTGTTACAGTTGACCGACTAGATGACGATCATACCCCAAAGATACTTCCTTGTTGACCATAATGGGAAAGTGATAAGCTAGCGGCCGGGTAAATGCCAGCCTTCGCCTGGGTCACAAGGAAGCCAGACGAGGGCTACGTCCTCCAGTCCTCCCGTCCTCCCAGCTGGCTCCTTTGCAGGGAGCCTCAGAGAACCCCACTACGTGACTCGAAGTGTTTTCTGACACCTCCTCTGAGCAGCATACTGAAGTGTTTGGTGCCGAGTTCACCGGAAACTCGCGTGTCTCGCTTCTCACTTGAGCCCAGCCCCTCTTCCAGTGAAACCTCCTGGGCCCAGGGTTCCCGGTGCCCAGGGGCTCCCCGCTGGGGCCCCACACGCAGCATCTCCCTCCCACTCAGCCACACTCTTATCTCTTCTCAAGTCCCTTCTCTCTTGGACTGCTCAGGGCTCGCCTTTGGTAGGAAAGGAGGTAGGCCACGTGGTTAGAGAAAACTCCCCGCAAATACCCCAGGGGGTCTGTCCCCAGGGGCGCTCTAGCCGCCAGGGTGGCTGACACACCTGCTTGCCTCTGCTTCTTTCTCTTTCCTGACTGGGCCCCCTCCCTTCCTCACCCGGCAGCAGCTTGCTTCTGTGGCTCAGTCTTTCACCCCAGGAGGGCCCGTGTCCTCTCCAGCTCACCACGTAGTGGCTGGGGCGGCAGCAGCAACCACAGGTCCTCCGGCTGGGGGGCAGTCTCGGAGGTGCAAGGGACAAGAGCTGCAGGCTGAGGATGTGGTGAGCTGCAGACACCTAGCGGCCACACCTGCACCTGCCTTCAGGCCGTCCTGAACAGTGTTGGGGGGGGACAATCCTGAGAGACCCTCTCCGACTCCAGCCCATCCCCCCATCTCTTTGTATTGGGGGATTGGTGTGGAATTTCACTGGAAAAGTTTCCCTCTTCTGTTTTGATAGGCCAATTCTTTTGCTAGGTGGAAGGGACATGGGTCAAAGATGATGCTACTGGAGGATGGATCCCTAAATTCTGTTTTAAAAAATAATTACTTGTCCCTAAATGTCCTTCTGGCCTTAAGATCCTAGACTCTGGGTGGAGATGGTGCTGAGATCCTGACTCCCACCGCACCCCCCCTAACTTTGGAGCATGTCCTGCCCTCCCTGGAAGCTGGTTGCTGGCTCACCTCCCAAGGCACAGCAGCCTCTTCTAGACCCTCTATACATTGGGCAATTCTTTCTGGTGCTTGCCCTTGGGTGCATGTGGTGTCTTGGTTGTCACTAGCCCAGATGGCTGGTGCAGTGGTGGGTCACAGGTGGTCCTTAGCAAATGTAGTGGGACTTAACAGATTCTGCAACTCCCTTAGCGCCACACAGGGAACCATCCTGTCTCCTGCCCTGGACAGCCTGTGGGAGACTCCGCTGATGTCCCCTCCCCCTTCTTCCCTTCTCTGGCTGAGCATCCCTACTCCCTGTGCTGTTAAGTTCCTTCTTCTCGTTCGTCTCCCTCGGGGTAGAGGAGTGAGATGTGGCAGGGGGAGGGTGCAGTTCCTGAGCAGCCAGCAGTACAGCCAGCAGTACAGTCATCAGACCTGGCCACGCCCTGCCGCGGCCTCTGCTGCTGCC